TGAGAGGAGGATCCCACGGATGTTCTCGATATTCTTCTGACTGCACATAAGGTGCACCCCTGCCCACGCTGGGAACACCCGATGGAGATGTGCGGCGGTGGGCTCTCCACAGAAAAAGAGGTGTTTGAGCAAGGTTCCTCCACATCCCATGCTTAGTTTCATGTGATGTCTGAAACTTCCAAGAGTGCATCTTAGTGGCCAGTCACACGAAAAATCAGGCAGTCACTATCAGCAGTTCCTGGAACTATTGTTCACCATGACTGGGGGTTGTCTTTGTTTTTGGTGGCAAATAATGAAGATCAACTGGGAAAAGTACGATTTCTTGTTGACAACTGTGGATTGTCTGCTGTCTCACCTCCCCGTACAGGATCCTCGTCAATGTCATGCGAATCCCCTCCTGTCTTGAGTACGTAATTAATTGGGGATGGGGTGCTTTGAAATGTTTCACATGGTTTTGTCCGTGCTCGATCGGAAGGAACACCGCGTTCAGTAACAAGTCCCAACTTGGCACTCCTCGCTCCCCGGATCACATGCCGCTACAACCCCATGACGACCTCAAGTTCATCATCCGTGATCACCAAGACTGTGCTTTTCTTTTTGCCCATTCTGGCCCTACTTTGGACAAAACAAGGCCCCTATCATCCCTGATCCACATTCACTCGGCGGCCCCGGCTTGTATAAAGCATAGGCTGCGTCTGCCCGCTCTGCATGTCTCGCTACGCAGCACATTTGAGTCGTGCGACTGGCCGGGTGAGCGACGGGAGAGTCCAAGCATGGACCTGTGGCAACCCGCTTCGTTTGGATCCGACATGCCGCACCAAGGAAGATCGTTTGGTGGGCGCCTACAAGTAAAGCCAAAACGAGCCCAAACGGGTCATCCGTTTTGAAAAGTGGGACGCTACAGGTTTGACCACCGAACGCAGCCGGATCAAGGTATATATTATGACCACAGAGCCCCTGCATGTCAGGGAAATGGCAATCGAGAGCACACATTGAATCCCACCTCACTTTGGATCTTCCTCAAGACAAGTGCAACAAAAACTCATTCTCTGAAAGAATAACTCACCAACGACGTTTGCATGTGTTTACTCACCCTTCCGGCGCCTAGAGGGATCCAAAAGGAATGGGGACATCAAGGACGGAGTTGGTGAGCTTGGCTCAACCGCGATCACCTCGGCCAACGCGGTACGCGCGCGCTTCGCCCCCAAGCAACGACCGTGGCGAGGACGTGGTGGGACGGGGACGGGGTGAGAAAACGTGGACGTGGGGCACCAAATCTTCGGGTTGGAGCGGACGAAGGACTGTCTTAAAAAGGTTCTACCGTTCTGCCGTCTCCGTCTATGGGTCAAATAATGGCAATGTAGAAAATACCGCGCCCTACCGGGGTCTTGCATTTGAAATATTTGAACAAACAGCTATGCTTTCACTTTGGCGATTGATAGATCCCGTCGTCGGTGTTCCCCTCTCACAGCTATAGGGTCTCGTTCTTGCCACACAGCTACACAGCCCTAACTGACCTCCCCAACATCATTAGTTCATGTCAGGTCAATCTCGCGATGAGAGCTGATAATTAGTCTATGGATTTGAACAACCCGTGACCCGTGTCAGTAGCTGTATTCACGCAACAGTGTAACACCTGGATGCCTCAACAACCTCTTTCACTGTGGATCCTTCACCAACGGATGACCAAAATGTCTGTTCCTGCCTCTGGAACCCACCCAAACTCCTAAAACTGCCAAAGATGCGGGATGGGCACCACATCATCCCGGGTGACCCCGACGGTCTCGGCGCCCGTGTCTCGGCGTGTCGTGTCTTGGCGCCCCGACGTCCACGCTCATTGCTTCGATGTGGCGAGCCATCCCTGGCGCAACGCGGCGCAGGAAGCTGAACGGAGAAGAGGAACGTGGTTCTTTTCCCCATTGTTACTAGCAAGAATGCTTCTAATTGCGATGCCAGGAGCCCCTAATAGCTTCTTGCTCCTAGTAGCGATGCCCTTTGTTCCTAGTAGCTTCTTGCTCCTACTAGTAATGCCATGTAATGCCCTTGTTACTATTAGCAAGAATTGCTCCTGAGCCATTTCGCCCAAGGAATGGAGTATGGGGGACACCAGCCAAGGCTTTTTCGGTCGTTGCTGCTTTCTGGGGCAGCGGAAGCAAGGTTGCTTGAAGACTGTACGCTGTATGGGTTTTGGTTTGTAGCGTTTGTGTTACACATCAATTGTTCTATTTGTTCGTTTTCGGAGGAATATATTTATAATTGTAGAAGGAAGGAACGTGGTGTCCGGTGTCCGTGGTTGAGGAACATTTCATGAAAGTTCATGAAATGTTGATGTTCAGAACTTGTCATGATGTCATGAGTCCACTTTTGACAAGCTATATTGAAGGATCAAGAGTGTGCACAGTGGAACATAACACCTTTCAAGTCACTTGGATCTACTCAAACCGGCTCGGTCACCAGCTGCCGGCCTTCTCCTGTACTGGACCACTGGACATCTCATCGACCAAAGGAATCCCTTGTTCCTCACCACCCAGCTGGGGGCGCTCTGTCGAGCTTCATTCAGGCTCTACCCCCAGCTGCAGTGAATTTCATTTAATCCAATCCATACAATATACTTCCCCCCAAACAAACAAGATTCACGATATTTCTGGAGTCCGTTCATCGTTTCCAAGAACCGCCGTTCGCACGTCCCCGAACTGCCCAACTCCTCGCCTTTTGGAAGTGGTGATAATTCTGAGGTTTTCCTAGGGACCCCAGACTGAACCCTTCACCGGTCCATAACCGGTCTCATCATTCCTTGAGCCAAATCCGACAGGGTTTCATCTGCAACATCGAACACCGACCGCGAAGAAAAAGAACAAGAACATCATATTCTTGAACTTGGAAGGAACCTCGAATGACCTGGATGGTGGAACATGTTTGGACTGGGTGTCTAAATGAGGGAGACACATTGTAGCGGATTCACGATTTACCAAAGATCTTGCTTCAACACAAGCCCAAAAAAGGGCGAGATGTGCGAAGGGCTCGGACACTCCGAAGTGCCCAAAAGGGGCCACTGGGAACCATGCTTCCCTACTGTTTTGGGCCAGACACTCCCTGGCCGCCCTACCCGGCCCCCCGTTGCCTCCATGAGGGCATAGATTCTCAGAGGAAAACAAGGAAGCAACACAACATGAAAAACATCTAAATCTTGCACCATGAGCAAACACTGCGAACACTGACCAAACTCCCCGAATCTTCCAGAATCTAAATGATCGGTTGATGCAAAGCCACTTTTGGAGGGAGCCTGTGGAGCGCGAATCGCCGTTTGGATCAGGTCGAACTCCAATCCTGGACTCCCGGCCGTACAGCGCCGGCAGCGCTGTTTGGCGCCCTGTTGGGCGCCCCGGCAGCACCCGCACCACCCGTCGCCTCCTTCATGGCTGCCACCTGTTCCAGGGACTTGCAGCGAGACGTTCAAACGAGCCAACGCTGGAGGGCAATTGGTAGTGGAATTCCTGGGTGAAACCAGGTGAAACGGTAGAAAATGTGAAGTTGGAAGGCCTGATTTCCTCTTGACCTCAGATAAGAGTTTCTTTGTGATACAAGTTGGATGAAGGCCTGGGCTGTCTTGATCGAGGTCTGCAAAGACACTCACACGCCGACTGTGGATCACTGACCTGAATAGTCCCAAGAGCTTCTCAAACAGTTCCGCTAGTCTTGTTATGGGATATTTAAAGGTTTGGACCTGGATCCATGCTTACTATCTCTTAATATCTATGGAAATACATCTTTGGGGTCACCCCAACTTTGTTGTCCTCAGGATCACTATGTTGACATGCTTTGACCAACTCCTACCTCCAATGGTTTCTTCTTGGAGTCCATCAAGAATGAAACTCTGACGTCTATTTGTGTTATTTACTGTACCACCCAGTAACTGCAAGTGCTGCTAGGTAGGTAACGACTCCATTCCTCACGCACAAGCCGTTTTGAGCAGCCAAACTTGGCACTGTCCATGCTTCCTATATCTTGCTGCACTTGCATATTTCATAGCGACTCAGCATGAATCTGGTGCAATTGCTCTTCAGCACACAAAATCAACCCACGATTCTACAGTCATGCAAGCTGGATCCTTTGTGTTCGATCAAAAGCTTTAATAGAATAACATAATTCGAGACCGGAGCATCTTGGTGTTCCTTTCGTTCATTCTTTGTCACGTCATGATACCAGTCCGACCTGAACAAAACCATGATCCCTTCATGTTGTTGCTGCACCTTCATGTTGGTCCTTCTTTATCTCAACATCTTGGAGCAAAAGTTCCACCATTCCCACCATCAAAGTGGCCTCAATGGCCGAAATCCGTGCTTCGTTGCCTTTTCAGAACGCATCCATATATGCAGCTGCAGCAGTCAAAGCGATAAACTCCGCAGTGGAACCTCCCTGTGCGGACCGGATCCTCCATGGGGAATACCGTGCGCCCCCGAGTCTCGCAGCTCGATCTCCGGAGGCTTCACAGTCCGTACAGCCCCAAGGGTTGGGCCGGCAGAACAGGGCGGAACAGGGCGGAACACCGAACACTGCGGTTGGAGTGGATCTTCCAGCCTTTGGGATGTCTTTGTGGATCTACTCTCCAAGTTCTTTTGGAGTGATGGTTGATTCATACCTGGAGTCGCCTGGAGTCTTAATAGATCTTAATAGTATGCAAGTTCTATTTTTAGGGGCACGGCATACATCGGCATACGCATATTCAAATGACATCCTCAAACGGTGAGCACTGAGAACTGCACCCTCATTGACAACTTCAAAGGAGCATGTGCCAAATACGGCCAGTTGATTGACAAGCAGTTTTTTGTTTTTAATATGATATATTATTGGTTGTTTGAGCTCGAGATTGCAGCTTCTCCAAAGGCCGAAAATATATAAAAATCGGTTCGATTCGTATCTCATCCGGACAAGACGTGCAGGAAGCAAACAAAAACAAGAACAACAAAATACCTCTCTCATGGTGGAAATCATCATCAAAGTCAGGTCATTGGCATGTCGGATTGACTGCAAACGTAGTCGTGACTACGTTGTCCAATGCCAAAGACCGAAGAAACGTCGTGTTCCAGCAGAACATCGTTGGTTGACTCTCCTGCTTCCGGAACCGGATTCCAACCCCTCCACCGCCGCACTGAATGGTACGTTCGACCAACAGTGCCTCCTTGGAAGTTGGCAAACAACATGTGGTGGTGTTTAAGAGCTGACTCTCTTAAACCTGTGTCATCCTATGTCTGATATGGCCCTGAAGCAGGTAGTATCCGGTAGATACCGTAGCTCTTATATTCAAGAGTTACTGCTAGAGATGTTCTGTCTAATCTGGATGGTTTTAATCTTTCTGGCTCTCTGCTCTCTCCTACTAGCCTGTTGCAATCACTAAGATGGGAGAAAACCGACAACAAAAAAAACAAGAATGCATGGAAGGGCTCCTTAGGTCTGTGTAAACTCAATAAGCGAAATGGGTATTCAATGTGACATCTTACTAGGAACAAGAAGCTACTTATATGATTGTTTGCTTATCAAGTGATTCAAGTCCTTTTGTTCTCAGACTCACCCAAGCACCTCTCCACCCCTTGAGAAACGCCCAACCCAGCGAGGATCATCCAAACCGGTGACTCGGTAACTTGCCAATTTCTGGATACCAACGAACGATCCACAAACAACACAAACAATGCACAGGATGCAGGTGGGAAAGGTGGATGTCGGACGGTGAAGTGTCAAAGGACACTCAAAGGTGGCACAGGTCGTGCAACCGATGACCAATAATGATGAGCTGCTGAACAACTTCCTACATGTTCTGCTAGAGTTGAGGCTTTGTAAACAAAGCATCATCAAGCTGGTTTGGTGGTTCAGCATCCAAGGCATTTTAGGGCGTCAGTTCGTCTCCTTCGTCAGTTCGTCGACTCAGAAGGTCGTCACCCTCCCCCGGTCAGCAGGTCACTACCGTCTCTGTGTCTCCAAAACACAAGACCTGCACAAAACACCCTCCTGGCGTGGACCAATTAGATCATTAGGTGCGAAGAACTTCACACTCACATTGTGGAGTTGAGTTGACAGCTTTCCCTCTGCTTCCAAGAAGTGCAGTTCCAAACTCCCACTTTGCACTATGGTAAGCCAAAAAACCAGCTGTGCTTCGCTTAAAGCAAAGCCACAGCATGGAATGGCTTTCACCATCCAACGCTCACTGATCGCCTGCGACAGGGGTGAACCGAAACTATCAAAACTTTGCACATATAGGGACTTTTTGGGAAGCTACTAGAAGCTTCTTGTTACTACTAGCAATGGCCTCCACCCTAGTAGCGATGGCCTCCAACCTACTAACAATTGCTACTAGTAGTAGTGGCCTCCAACCGAATAGTGATGGCCTCCAAACCTAATACCTTCTTGTTCCTAGCCTTTGCACGAAGATTCTCTACACCCTCCTGTCTCTTTAAATGTGTCTCCAGTCGATGACCCCCAATTGGCTTTTGCAACAAACAAGTGGCTTTTGGTGTTCTACAGATCCCCGCATTGAACTGCCTGCATCTTTGGGTTCTTGGATTTCATACTGCATTTATACTGCTTGGTCTTCTGACAATGGTACCAAGATATAACCAGTTAAAAACTGCTCTCATGAATCCAAATTCTGAACCACTGGGTTAGACGGTTAGACAGTTGGCTCAGGAAACTATGTCATAGGATGTTATAGGCTACATATATACACGACCACAGTTTACTTTTCCCACGCGTTGCAGAAAGTTTGTCTACAAATGCAAGGAACTCATACCTACAATTACCTCTCGGGGCCCCGACTCTCTGTTCCCTCGCCAAACCGACAGGAACAGAGAGCCCCCC